CTCTAGGTCTATCCATGTTGTTGCAAATGGTAGAATTTCATTTTTTTTTTAGTGGCTGAGTAATATTCCATTGTATATATGAACCATAATTTCTTTATCTAATCATCTATCGATGGGCATTTAGGTTGCTTCCATATCTTGGCTATTGTAAATTGTGCTGCCATGAATATTGGAGTGCATAGATCTTTACAAATTATTATTTTGATTTTCTTTGGATAACCACCCAGAAGTAGAATAGCTGTGTCAAAAGGTATATCTATTTTTAATTTTTTGAGAAACATCCATACTGTTTTCCATAGCGGCTGTACCAATTTGCAATTCCACCAACAATGTATGAGAGTTCCTTTTTCTCCTCATCTTCACCAACACTTGTTTTTTGATTTATCGATGATAGCCATTCTGACAGGTGTGAGGTGATATCTCATTGTGGTTTTAATTTACATTTCTCTGATGGTTAGTGACCTTGAGCATCTTTTCATATGTCTATTAGCCATCTGTATTTCCTCTTTGGAGAAGTATCTGTTCAGATCTTTTGCCCATTTTTTAATTAGATTGTTTGTGTTTTTGTTGTTGAGTTGTATAAGTTCTTTATATATTTTGGATACTAACCTCTTATCAGATGTATCATTAGCAAATATATTCTCCCAAACAATTGGTTGTCTTTTTGTTTCGTCGATGGTTTCCTTTGCTGTACAAAAACTTTTTAGTTTGATGTAGACCCATTTGTTTATTTGTTTGTTTGTTTGTTCGTTTCCCTTGCCCGAAGAGATATATTCGGGACACCGGTGGAGGGTAAGAGGCTCGTGCGGGATTCATACTGAGGAAGTCTGCATTACCTGGTGCCAGAACAAGGGCTAGAAGAGTAGCCACCATCATGCCTTAGTCCGGCCCCCCTCAAAAAGTGTTCTTTTATTGGTGAAATCAGAAGCCTTCTTTAAACTTTGTTGGGTTCTTTTTCCTTACATGCTTCACTGTGATCTTTTCCTTTATATAAGTAATGGTTATCAAATCTCTCTCTTTCAAACAAAAATCTGCCCTGCTTCATGCCATTTCACATAATGATTTTGATTCTTTACTTTTGCTCTCTCATTAAAGATACGGCCACAATTATATCTGCAATCCCATGACCATCATGTACATGATCTAGTGAAAAAAACTTGTCTCTGTCTGAGATGCTTTATAGCACTTTTTACTTCCTCATTCCTCAAACTGTAAATAAGGGGATTCAAGAAAGGGGTGACCACTGTGTAAAAGACAGATACCACCTTGTCAAGGGAGAAACTGGTGTCTGGCCGGGTATAGATGAAGATACATGGTCCAAAAAAAAGGACAACCACCATGAGGTGGGCTGAGCAAGTAGACAGGGCTTTCCGGCGTCCTTCAGCTGACTGTTTTCTAAGAGAAACCAGGATGACTGTATAGGAGGTGACCAAAGCCAGGAAACAGGCAAGGGAGATGGTCCCACTATTGGACACAACCAGCATCCCTGTGAGGTATGTGTCTGTACAGGCCAGCTTGATGACAGAAGGCACATCACAGAAGTAGCTATCAATAATGTTGGGGCCACAGTAAGGTAGACGAATAGTCAAGAAAGTTTGCTCCAGTGAGTGAACAGTACCCCCCAGCCAGAGAGCAAAGACAAGCTGTAAGCAGACTCGCATGTTCATCACAGTGGAGTAGTGTAATGGGGTGCAGATGGCTACGTAACGATCATAGGCCATAATAGTCAGTAGAAAGATCTCAGCACAGGCAAACAGGTGTAGGAAGAAGAGCTGTGCAATGCAGTTGTCAAAAGAAATGGTCTTTCTCTTTAAAAGCAAACTCTCCAGCATCTTGGGCACAGTGACAGATGAATGGCAGATGTCAATAAAGGACAAATTGCTCAGGAAGAAATACATAGGGGTATGGAGACGTGCAGTAAAGACTATGGTAACCATGATGAGAATGTTCCCCCAAAGAGTTAGCACATATGTAGTTGAGAATGCCATGAAAAATAGTATCTCCAGTACCCAATTATCAGTAAGTCCCAAGAAGACAAATTCAGTCACTCTTGTTTGGTTTTGTGCATCCATCCAGTGAGCTTTCTAAAGGACTTGTGCGGGAATGGAGAGGGATGAAAGTTAATTTAGCTTTAATATTATAAGAATAGACCTAATTGAATTGATTCTGCATTTCTATCTGAATTGTTTATTTATTTTTAGAGCATATGGAATATAAGGCAAATTTAATAATAATTGTTAAAATATACCCACCATGTATCAGGAGCCATTCCAGGCACTCTACATCCACCATTCTGCACGATGGCATAGGCATTACTGATCGTGTCTTGCAGTTGAGTTAAGTGAGCCTTACAAGAATCAATAAGTTGCCCAAAACCCTTAGCCACTAGTTAGCTGGCTCTTTTAATTTCGGTCTGATCCACAGATAACGCCAAGTTAATATTCCAAAGTGCAACTCCCAGCTAAAAACATGCAATGTTTCATTTTTCCTATAAAACTAAATGTACCTTCAAAGCTTAAAACAGTCTGCTGCACATTTATTTTTCCAGTATGGCATTCCCCTTCTCTCCGGCAAAGCAAGTTACTATGCTTCAGCCATGCTACCTCCACCTATTTACTTTCTAAAACCTTTGTCCTTATTTATTATGTTTCTTCTGCTCAAAAAACATGCCGTCTAATCAAATGCACTCTCTTTACCTCATCACTGACTATTAATATACCATGAACCTTTCAAGACCATCTCAAAAAGCAGTACGTTTAAGAAAACTTTCCTGACACAATCAAATCCTATCTCTCCCTTTGATGCTTTTTTTGTGATACTTAACTATAAAAGAAAATAAAATAAGGTATTTGTTTTCCTTTCCCATTAAATTGAAATTTTCTTAAAAAGCAATGACCATATATGACTTGTCCTTCGCAGCACTTAGAATGGTTTCTTACACACAGTAGGTATGTAAAAAATATTTTTATTTGAACTGAGGTAACCTGAAAAAGAATTCAATCCTTCCTTCACAATAGAGCTAATAAGTAACTTAAAAAACATATTTTTAAAAATTTTGTAATATGCTTTTTCTCTAGGAGATATTATTGTATAAATACTAAAGTTATATTACTCCTAATTTTCTATACTGATTGGCTGGCCAAAAAATTGTAACAAATCTTAGGAAATAATTACCACAAACCATAAAAAATATTTATATTCTTGATCCAATGATTTCATTTGTAGGAATCCCTTAAGCATCCAAACTATGGAGAAAGCTAAATAAAAAAAATTAATTACAGTGTTATTTTAAAAAAAGTCATGGGACATTTTTTGAAGCTTGAATGAATATAGTGAAACTTGAATAGAATTGTGTGCAGCCATTAGGAACACTAGTGATAAAAGATTACAATACGAAAAAATATTGAAATATTATTAAAAATGAGATAAAATTATTTCTACATTCTTAAAATTTTTTAAATACATATAGTGCCATGTAAATGATGAAAATACAAATAGCAGACTAGAAGAAAATATTGCAACTCACATAACCAAAAAAGGATAGTATTCCTAATATTCAAAGATCTCTGAAAATTTGATAAAGAAAAAGAGATGACAATTAAATATGGGTAAAAAAATATATGACTAGGTAAATCATGGGAAAAAATGCAAATGACAAATAAGTATGAATAAAAAGATGCTCAACTTCAGAAGCAGGTGAAGAAAAACTCAACCAAATACTTTTTTTTCTCTTCAGACTAGCAGAAGAGTAAGGAGCTGAGCACTCTGTAGACTGCTTCTGGAAGCAGATATTATTAAGACCTTTTGGTAAATAATCTGGCAGCACTTCTCAAAATTTTAAATGCCTGTACCACTAACCCAGAATTTCCACTTCTAGGACTGTATTTCATAGAAATAAAAGATCTATATTTATTAAAACATTTTTAGCAAAACAAGGTACTGGAAATAAAATGAATGTTTATCAATAGAGAAAAAGGTAGATAAATTTTATGACAGCCACAATATGAAATATTATGCAGCCATTAATAAGAATGAGTTGCATCTATGTATATTGACTTAAAGCAGTGGTTCTCAATGTGGCAGCATGTTAGAACCACTTACGGGGAGGGGGAGGTTATAAATTTTGCTGCCCAGTCTTCACTCCAGACAATTAATTCAGAATATCTGGGGTTAGACCCATGAGTACTTTTAAAGTTCCTTGTTGATTCCAACGTACAGTCAAGATTGCAAACTTAACTTCAATAATATATTAAGTGAAAGGAGCATATTATAATTATATTTTGAACCAGGAAGGAAGAAAGGGGGGGAGAGAGAGAATGGAAAGAAGGGAAAAAAAAGAAAGAAGGAACAAAAAAAGAGAAAGGAAGGAATCAAGAGATTTTTATGTGTATACATACACATATATGTGCGTATATGTGTTTTAACATGTTTATACATATTCAAATATTTATTGATGAATTATGTTTGTCTGTAGTATTTATTCCTAAAAGGATAGAAGATAGGTGTTGAGGAATACACACTTATTTTAACATTGGTTACCTGTGGAAGTATAGACTTGAAAGGAATAACAAGATTTTGTTCATTTTTACATTATATTCTGTATTATTTAAATTTGTATAATAAACATGGGTTACTTTGTTTAAAAAACAAAGTATTAAAAGCGTGAATAGGGGAGAAAACAAAATGGAAACAAAAATGCTGACTTCATAGGATTATGAGTTCATTTTTCCTTCTCCATGTCTGAGAGTTTATAATACGGTTGTATTTCTTAATAAAGCAATATTCTTAAAATGGGAAAGATCTTTTCTATAAACTCCTGGCCAGCAATACATTAGTAGCAGAAAACCAAGAGCTGTTTTGCTTTCAACTAGAAAGAAGAGGGCAGAGACTCTTCATAAGAGCACATACAATTCAAATAACTGTGACCTTTGCCTCCCTAAGCCTCAGTTTGCTGAGCTGCAAAATAGGAACTAGATGCATCTCTTCTATGTGATTAGATGTAGCAGCTGTCTAGGTCTCTGTTGAAAGATTAAAAGAGAAGCCAGGGAATGGGAAGAATCTCTGGCTTCGTTAGTGGTTCTGTGGCACAGAAAATTATCATTGGAAATTAAAGCTCAGAGCATTTATTGCTCTAAGAAAACGGAATGCAGATAAGATAAGCTTCCAAGATGTTTTATGCCTTGCCCTGCTTTTGCACAGCAGAAACTGGAACTCTGTCCCAGTTCTTCTGCCTTTAGGTTTCCATCACTCAGCAGTTGCCTCCAGAGAGCTGAGCTAGATTAACTTCTAAATCTCTTTCAGTATATTGTACTTAGTTTCTTTTTTTAAAGATCTTATTCTTCACTGCATATTGTATTGTTTCTTTTCTAAAAAATTTGATTCTTCATATTATATTATGATATTATCTACCTGTTTGTCAATCAAAATAGGAAAAGAAACCTCTGAGAAAGAAAACTACTCAGGTTTCAAAGGTGAAAACTGCTTAAGGTAAGAACGAAATAGTGTCCTCTTCTCTGCGTACAGAGAAAGCACTCAACAGCACTTCCCCCATATGGTACAAGAATGTAATCATAGTGAGCTATGTCCCAGAGAGTGACACTGAGCAGGAAAGCCCAGGGGAAGAGAAGTATCACACCTCAGCTGTACTGTAGTCTTTCATGTCTTCTCCAGAATGGCCCAAATCTAATCTGTGTGCTGACTTTTAGAGCACAAAAATGACAGGCTTTCTCTGGTAGTAATAAGGACTGCTTTGCTTCAAAATCCAGGGACCAAACAAGTATAGACTGAATGGTCCACCTGCCAGTGGAAGAGACCCATACTTTCTTTGGAAGGTTGTAGTCATTCTATAAACATTTGTGAGTACCTAGTGAGGCACTGAGCTAGGGATGCAAATACAAAGATGCAAAGGGAAGTGATCGTCTTAATCCTTCCCAACCCCCAAATTCCATAATCCTATGAATTTTTTGATAATTAGAAAAAGAAACAGGTGCTGTGGCAAAATCTAAAAGGCAACAAGTCATAATCCTAGGCATTTAATGGAGGAATCTTGGAGAATGTATGTATTTGTGGGTTGTGTGTATGTGTGTGTGCATGCGCGCACGTAGATTCTTTCATAGAAAGCAATACACTGAAGATATACACTGAGGCCTGAGACAGAAGAAAGGTCAAAACAATTCTCATAAGTTAAAATGCCTTCTATTAAACTTCTAAACACCACACACTTATGCAATATATTAGACAAGTGATGAGAAGAGTCCCGCTCAGTACAATGTACATGTGTAAATACATGTACCTCCCCACAAAAAGTGTGGCAAGCAATGAAAGTGAAGAGCTGGTAAAACTTACCAATTTTTTCAAATTATACAGGGGTAATTTAGCTCATTGTTATAATATTATAATATTCTTTCATCCATTTCTTTCATAATTCTTTCTAATAAGAAACAGAGAGAAAGCAAAAATAAGAACACAAAATTAAAAACACTCTGATTTGGACATTAGCAACTGGTTTTCTTTTTAAATATTTCCACCCTTTTAATGTTAGTTCCTGGATTTTTCAATCCTTTTATCCCCTGTAAAATTTGCATTTACTCTCTTGCCTTCCTCTGGCCAGGTAAAGTAGAAATAAGCCTACTTGTCATTTCCACTTTAATCAGTAACTATCATGACACCATTAGAATCATTACATTTGAACCGGTTCCAACAAACATTTACTATAAAAGGAAAGTAGTCATTTTTAGTTAATATAAATAAATAGCATACTTTAAAAGATATGACCTGATACTAACTTTAAACATAAAATTTTGTTATCGAAAAAATATAAAAGTGTTCTGATTGTGATAATCATGTCACAATGTATACATATATCAAATCATCACATCATTACCTTAAATAAATGCAATTTTTATTTGTCAATTATACCTCAATAAAGCTGGGAGAAAATAAAATATAAAAGTTTCAAAGGAGTTGTGTTAAATCAAAGCCAGTTAGTGTTTGGTTCTATTCTTGTCCTGCTAAACTAATAAACATTATCAAGTGAAGACTTATTTTGTGAGTTAATATATCTAAAAATTTG